ATCTTTGTGTACAGTCTTCTTATTTACCAAAATGTCCTGTTCAAAGGAAATTTTTTGGAGACAAAAATGTCTTCGTGGAGGTGGACAGCTTTCAGGTTGGGCAGCACATTCCGCCTCTATGGCTCTCCTCTTCAGATCAGCTTGGCAGCACTGAGGTTCTGAGCAGCGCAGGCTGCTGCTTAGTAACCTTGAACTTGAACCATGTCTAAGTTCCCTAGCCAGGCCTCAGTATCCCGCTCTGGTTAAATGAGAGGGTTGGTTAAAGTAAGTCTGAGAATCTCCCCAGTACTGACAAGTTTCCAGTTCTCCAGTGGGAAAAGGTGGGCCTATAAAATAAGCCTTTGGCCTCCTAGGATGGGTTGCAATAACAGGCTCCATCAGCTCAGTACAGGGAATTTAAAGGGAGATGATTGGGTGGTAATGGATAATACCAAGAAATACCATATACCTGAGCTGCACACAGACAGGGACCTAAAAACGAATAGGAAAATATGTAAAACCAAACCAAAAAAAAAAAAAAAAGCCACCATTAACAATAAGAAAAAATCCTCCAAGTCATTATTTCAATTTAAACAAAAATCACTTTGCATGTTTCTCATAAAACATGTTTAGGCAGTTCCTTGATTAGTTGAAGGCCAGTGCTCCTCAAACTTGGATTTGCATACAAATTACCTGGAGATTTGTTAAAATGCAGATTCTGACTCAGTAGGCCTGGGATGGGCTGAAGATTCTGCCTTTCCAACAAATGCTCTGGGGATGTTGCTGCTGGTGGTTCACAGGCCACACACACCTTGAGGACTGAGCTGTAGCTTAGCCTCGCCCTCTGAGCCCCAGAGCAACCGGCTTCATCACTCCCCTCTTGTCATCCTTGCCTCCTCCCTCTGCCTCAGCCCCCATTTCCAGGTAATTCTTCATTTGGGTCATCAGTAATTTACTCTTTAACCAGGCGATCTTATATTTAAGTTGACTAGGAAAAAACAAACATTTCCCCCCCCCCGCTCCCGTCCCCTACTCCTTGATCTTTAAGTGTCTTTTCTAATGCTCTGATGTTATCAGGATGATTTAGGAATGGACCTCAGTATATCCAAACCTCCATGGCTTGAACTGCCAGAGTAATGCTTTCAGTGAGTTTAAGGAGAGAAGCTGGGCTGTGCCAGGGGCAGACACTCGCTCTGCCCCAGAAGGGATGGCATTGCAAATTCTCCCTGGCTCTTGTAGATGTCAGCTAACTAATACCTGTGCCCTGCTCTGATAGTAACTCCAGACTTTGGTGAAATAATTTAATGCAAATGTTAACAGTTCACTTTCATTATATAAAAATTTGCCCTTTGAAGAGATGTACAAGATTCCTCCTTCTAGAACTAAGCCTTACAAGCCTCAAATAACTTTAATTCAGTCTTGATTAAAATTAAGGTGAGACCAAAGACCACAAACTTCTGTAGCAGGAACCTTAAGAGGATCCAGGTGCTTTTCAGAATGCAGAGCCTTGAGTCAACAAGTTGCGTTTGTTAGGTAGGTAATGTAGACAGAATAGTGAAATGTGAGCTGTCATTCATTTTAGGTCAGATCCATTTATTTTGTACCTTGTTATAAAATTGAGATTCTGTGTAAGATTTTACTAAGTAAACAAGTAATAATGAAAAACTTATTTTAATACCTCCAGGAACTATTTACTTTTCAAGACTGTGACTGTCTTTGGAAACTATATTTGTTAAAACGTTTGCTGCAGAAATCTGTTTATAAATTCTGTTGTAGAACATCGATTTATGCTTCAACCTTGGGGTGATATCACCTCCTTGATCTGGTTCCGATTAAATTATCCAGTTTAAACAGGTCTGCAGACTGCCTCAGAAACAGGAACATAGGTAAAAGTAAAAGCATTTATCGATGCAAAAAGGTTATTTTTTAAATAAAATAAATAAATGATGCTAAAAATGAACTTTAAAACACAAATCAGAATCTCGGTTTTTCTCATGGTGCCAAGCTTCAGCTCCTGCAGAAGCCTTACTGACTCCTTCCTGGCCCTTTGTCTTTACTGCCTGACCCATAGATATCTATTACTATGTGACAAATTACCCTGGAAGTTGGCAGCATGAAACAACCCACGTGTATGATCTCACAGTTGCTGTCAGGAATCTAAGTGCTGCTCGCCTAGGGACTGTCACAGGGTTCAGTCAGTGCCAGCTGGTGCTCTGGTCTCGTCTGAAGGCTCAGTTGGGGAGGCCCCTCCTTCCAATTCTCCTGTGGTTGTGGGGTTGGCGCACAGAGGCCTCCCTCAGTCCCTTGCCACGTTGGCCTCTCCACTGGGCTCATCTCATCATGGCAGCCTTTTTTCTCTAGAGTGGGGGCTCCAGGAGAGGAAGAAAGAGCAAGGAAGATGAGAGTCAAACTCTTTCTTCTAACCATTTTACTGAGGTATGATTGACATGTAAAAAGCCGTACATATTTGATGTGTATAACTCGATGAGTTTGGGGATAGTTATACACCTGTGAAACCATCACCACGTCTTCCCAAAGTTGCCTGTTACCCTTGTTATTGCATGTGTGGGTAGTAAGAGGACAACATCTTAGCAGATTTTAGGTGTAGGACAGTGTTGTCACCTACAGGCACTACGCCGTGTGGCAGATCTCCTGGACTTCTTGATGTCACATAACTGAAACTCTGTGCCCTTTGACTATCACCTTTCCATTTCCCCCGGCCTTCAGTCCTTGGCAACCATCATTCTACTCTCTACTTCTGTGAGCTCGACTACTTAAAAATCTGCATATATATGCGATTGGACAGAATTTGTCTTCTGCGACTGGCTTGTTTCACTTAGCGCAATGCCCTCCAGGTCCAGCTGTATTGTCCCATGTGGCAAGATATCCTTCTTTTGTAAAGTTGAATAAATGCCCAGTTGTATGTGTGTACCACATTTGCTTTATCCATTCATCCATCAAGGGACATTTAGGTTCTTTCTGTCTTGGTCTAGCCTTCTCCCTGAAGGGACGTTGTATCACCATTTTCGGTTTATTTGAAGGAAGTCACCAGGTTCAAGGATTGCACCAGGATGTGAATTTCCTGGTGCAGTCTCTTTGGGGCCATCTTGCAGTCTTTCTGCCACACAGAGTAAGGTCTCAGTGAATGAGCCGAATCTGTTACGGTGCTGGGTCGCTGTCCTTAGCCGTGAGCTGCGTATCCCAAGGTTTCAGGAAGTCCTTGTTCAGACTGAGTTCAGGTTGATTGTGATTTGACTGAGCTGCTAATACTCTGAGCTGTAGGTCAAGGACTGGCAGATTAACATGCATGTACAGTTTCTTCTATAAAGTATGTACAGGTTTGTTTGCATACTTGTCTTTTTAAGTTCCAAGAAAGGACTTAAGAAGGAAGGAAGGCCTAAAGGTAGAAGTCCACTTTAAAATGGCAGCAAGCTAGGTAGGTCTGGTGAGTCAGAGAGTAGCCATGGAATTTAAAGAGGTGACGTAGACTGGCTCCTTCTTGCTATTTAGATCTCAGCTTAAACGACACCACCCAAGAGGCCTTCCCTGTGCATCCAGTTTCTGTTCACTAGCACTTCCCTCTTTCTCCTGTCATGGCCCTTTCATGGCCCTGGGTACCCTCTGGCTCGATTCTCTGCTTGTTTTATTGCCTGTCTCCCCATGAGAACTGAGCCCAGGAGAGCAGGGACTTCAGCTCTCTCAGTCCACCCATGTGAGGTCCATCTCGCGTGGGGTCTGTGAAACAGTAGGCTCTCAGTAAGTTCTTACCAAATAAATGAGTGAATGGAACACACAGACGAGAAGTGATTCCAAGCAGCTTTTGGAAATTATAATATCTTAATGACTTCCCAAGGAAATACCACTTATTCAGTTAGCGTACAAAATGCATTAATATATTTAAAAAAAGAAAAAAGATTGTGGGGTAGTTTTGTCCCTGTCACTTTGCTGCTGAGCCAGGAGGCAAGTCACGTCCCTTTCCTGGGCGCAGTTTCCTTAGAGGACAAACGCGAGGGCTGTAGAACGGGATCTTCAGACTGCTCCTTCCCCAGCCACTAGTCGTCCAGAGGCAGCTCTGTGTTTTCTACATTGGTCTGCCATGCAAGGTTTCGGTTGAAGAAAGGATTCTGTGGCCAAAAAACAAAACAAAACAAAAACCCCAGAACGTTTGAAACCCAGACGGCTTCCATGCCTATTAATGGCCATTCCAGCTCTGCAGAGGCGGGCACCGGTTGTGGTTCTTTTGGCAGATCAGAGTAGAGACCTTTGGCCAGCAGAACCAATAGGAAGGGCAAGCCTGATAATTTCGATGCACATGACCTAGCCCCCTTTCCAAGAATCCCTTCTCCCTTCCTTTTTCCCTCCTCCCACCCCTCCAGCTTCACACTTCTCTTATGCCCACATCATGCTGCTTTTGAAATGTTAGCATCGATTTTTTTTTCACATTGACTAACTGATTTCAAGATTTCATTTCTGGCACGGCATTTCCCACCAGATAGCCAGAGCTTCCAGCTCCAAGTTTTGTAATTAAAATTCTGTCACATCCCCTGAAACGGTGCAAATTGTGCCATTAAGCCTGGCACAGAAGATTTGAAAGCATTTCACCTAGTAATTTAAATATAATACTTTTGGCAGCTTTCAATTTGGGGTATTTTTAATTCTAATTAAAAAACTATTATTGAACATTAATACCTCTGTACAGCGTGCTGCTGCGCCTCAGGGCTCCATCTTGGCCAGCTAGCTTTTAACAAACAGCTCGTTTGTGTGGTGGTTGCAGCCCACGTGGCATTTCTTGGCCTTTGGGAATCACCAGGTCCCAGGCATAATTAGTATAAATCAAAATCCTCTAGACTGTGACAGGAAAATGGTATGTTTGAACAGCAGCTTATTAAAATGACCTACTTAATTTAAGAAAAATATTGTATCCACTCACACGGTAACCTGGGTCCTTTCCCTGACAGATTTTATAATATTTCTTCCTTCTCTTTTTTTTTTTCCTTTTATTTTATTTTATTTTTTTTAAGAAAAGGAAAGGGAATGGAAAGGCCCGTTCTACTTCATCCAGGGTACGGACCCGCAGTTCGGACTGATGAAGGCCTGGTCCACCGGGGACTGTGACAACAGTGGGGATGAGTGGGGCCAGGAGATTCGTCTCACTGAGCAGGCCGTTCAGGCCATCAACAAGCTGAACCCCAGACCCAGATTCTTTGTTCTGTGTGGGGACCTCATCCATGCCATGCCAGGTAAGACGTGGGTTGTTGCTGTTACCTGCTCTCCTTTACCTAGTCATGACCACATTTGGGGGGGCAGGGAAGATTTCTCTTAAAAGATGTCTTCATTTGGGAATGGCTCATTTCTTCTCGTGACTGCCGCAGTATCATCGAACATCAGAAAGCGCACACTCATTTCACATTTAGAATCTGGCGAGATTAATCACTGTAATTAGGCAGAGCTACAGTTCTGATGATCGAGCTTAATGTGAAAAATGGAACAGATTTTCACGTGTCACCTTTCCTTATCTCTAGGGGACAAACTTGAACTGCTTCCAGGTGACAGCCATAAATGTAATCTTCTCTTCTCGTTTCCCCTCTTCTTACACTTTCATTTCTCCTGTGTTTTTAGTGCTCTTTCGGATTCAGGTGACAGAAATCTAACTTAACTGGATTAATTTTTTTAAGGTGTATGTTACTTTGTGGGACTATAAATTAGACCAAGGGCAGACAGGTTTCAGGTCTGGCTGGATCCAGGCGTTCAGCGGTGTTTCAGGACATGGTCTCAGCATTGTTCAGCCCCGCTTTCCTTTGGGTTGGCTTCATTCTCAAGCAGGCTCTCTCTGGGTAGTGGTTCCTGGGCATTCTAGGTTTACATCCTTCTTACAGAAACCACAGGAGAAAGAAGTATCTTATTCTTGGTGGTTCAGAGT